ACAATATGTCACTTCTGCTCTCTGAACTTCATGTCTATTCAGAAACACAGAAATTGATATTGTAACCACACTGTTTAACTCACAGAAAAGCACTAAACTTCTATAAAGCCAAGCATTCTCTTGTTCTTTCTCTAAGCTGGAGGGGATAATGGGAGGGCCTTAAACATCTGCTTGGGAAGAATTTATTCCGTAAATCATTGTCATTAGATCCAGAATAAATTGTGCTGTAAAAGCGACCAAAGAGCTTTCAGCCTTCATCAGACAAGTGGAGACATGAAGCCAAGACCTGGGAAATGGGGGGAGAAAGAAGAGAGAGACTTATATGGAAACAAATCTTTTTCATTTTGACTGGATTTCAATGCTGTAAAATGCAGAAAGCAGCACTTTGACTGAAATGAAGAAATAGCAAGGTTAATGGAATTTTTACACTCCGGATACGTGAGGAACTTCTAAGGTCATTGTAATGAAAAGAAACGCAACTCATCAGCACATCAGCAGACATGCTTTATTTTACCACATAAGTAGCTGAGGCAGTTTTAGGAGAGACTCTATTGTCTGTTCAGGAGGTCTTGCTGTATTTATGAGCAGCTTCAAAGATGATTTCATTCTCTCTCTGTTAGAGGATGGCCCTTTGGCTGTTTTTGTGATATTTTTTTTTCTCTTAGCGCAGGAGGGAGTGATAGCAAAATAATCATTTGAGTAGGTAACATGCATCAGCAGAACATTTTTCAGTTTTACAGCCAGTTATAACATGATGGATGATTTTACAAGACTCTCTATATGTCTATATTAGTGTAAGACTTCAATAAATGCAAGGAACAAGATTAACAAGTAGAGTAGAACTGCTCAAATTATTTTCAGTCATAAGTAGTCTACAAAAACAGCAACAAATTTTTATTTTTATTTGAAAGCAACAGTGTGTATTTTTTTACTGCTGAAATGCTTTATTTATATTCCAGCGTTATGTATAATAAGTAAGCAACATGCCAAAAAAAAAAAGTGTAAAAAACAGTGGCTCTAAGCTGCTATCAACACATTGCTCTGTTTGTTCGGGAATTCAGACCAGCCCAGCATATTAACACTGTCTCAACCAATGATGTGAGTTTGCGGGCAGGGCTATCTGTTTGGTCGGCCAATAGAGAGGGCAGGAATAGTCATAAAACCCTTTCATTATTTTTGCAATTCTGTTTGGTGCTGTTCTATCAAAGCATTTCTCAGTTAGTTTAATAATTCCAACCAGCCTAGGACAGGAACAAGCAATGATGTGAGTTTGGGGGTGGGGCTATCAGTTTGGTTAGGCCAATGGAAGATGGGAGGAATGATTGTTAAAACTTGTCATTATTTTGGATGCAGAAATTATATCACCCTTAAGCAATTATTAAGAACCATCGGTATTCCACAAATAAAAACAAGATTGGTATATGAAGTTGGAATAACACAGAAACACACTAGCATACAATTAGACTTACTACCTTACTAAGTATGCGTCAGACAAACACTTCACTATCCCATGATGATAATGTAGTTTGTAGCATATTGTAGACACGTCTTGTCGTGATACGGGTTTGGCACTGAAGTTACAGGAGTTTCTTCCCGTTGCTAGCGGAACTAGGTCGAGTATTTAAAAGGTTATGGTTAACACGGTTAACGTGGTTTAACGTCGATGTAATACGTTGTTTTAGCGTACCTTTTGCTTAAACGAGGAGCTGGGGGACGCCATATAGGAAAAATAGACATTTTACTCATTAGGCTGCTTCATTAAAAACATGACATTTAGACGTTTTCTTCGGCGTGGATCCAGGTAAATGAATCCTTTTCACCTTGACAATAATAAATGTTTTTTTTGCATTTTAAATAATAGAACATTTCTCAGTGATCGTAAATAAAACAAAATTCCATTTTTCTCGGTTTAATGAAAACCGATAGGACGTTATGGCAGAGGCGAATACCATCTGGATATCTCTCCACTGGAGCGTGTTAACGCAAACGTGTTTCACGTTTGAGGGGGTTAAACCGTGACATCTACACGTTTTCCAAAGTGGACTATTTAGGCTGCTTCGGCGTGGATCGAGGCAAATGAATCCTTTTCACCTTGAAAATAATAAATGTTTTTTGCATTTTAAATAATAGACCATTTCTCAGTGATCGTCAATAAAACAAAATTCCATTTTTCTCGGTTTAATGAAAACCAATATGTCGTGATGGTAAGTTTCAGTTTAAGTGTAAGTTTCACGTTTGAGGGGGTTTAAACCGTGACATCTACACGTTTTCAAAAGTGGACAAACATTATTTCACATCTTGTCGTGATACCGGGTTGAAGAAATGTTGTTTTGGCCACTTTGTTTAATATAATCACAACAATTGAACGTAAGCAAGAATGGGATTTAAACTCAGATCTTCTTGATTAAAACCCAACGCTTTATCAATTGAGCCACTGAGTCTGTTGAGTTCAAAGGTGTATTGAATGAATTTTTATTGACGGTTTGGTTTTATTTGTTGGAAAAATAAATATAGAAATATAATTTGACACAAGAGGGCAGTATAGCCCTATTTATGGGTTTGAGTTTAAACTAAACCGTGACATCTACACGTTTTCCAAAGTGGACCAACATGATTATTTCACGTCTTGTCGTGATACTGGTTGGGCACTGAAGTTACAGGAGTTTCTTCCCGTTGCTAAGCAACGGAACTAGGTCGAGTATTTAAAAGGTTATGGTTAACACGGTTAACATGGTTTAACGTCGATGTAATACGTTGTTTTAGCGTACCTTTTGCTTAAACGAGGAGGTGGGGGACGCCCAAGAAAATAGACATTTTACTCATTAGGCTGCTGCATTAAAAACGTGACATTTAGACGTTTTCTTCGGCGTGGATCCAGGCAAAAGAATCCTTTTCACCTTGAAAATAATTTTTTTTTTTTATTTTATTTTTTTTTTATTTTAAATAATAGAACATTTCTCAGTGATCATAAATAAAACAAAATTCCATTTTTCTCGGTTTAATGAAAACCTGACATCTACACATTTTCCAAAGTGGAATATAACTTGGGTTCTGCAACTCGCCTCCAATGGATTTGTTACAAGAATAATAATAATTAAAGAAAAAAAAATCTTAATGTACTTCAAGCCATAATGATAACCCTATTTGATAGCTGATGGCATTAACATTAGCATATTTGCTAACAGGATAAATTAACCGACAAATCCTGTTGTCCCAGGAGAACAGCTATAAACGCAGTTGGGAGCATGTCATGTGTTTGGCCTCAACAGTGAATGATCTCTTTTCTTGTTATCACAGGAAACAGTGCAATGAGCCTGCATATAGCTCAATGATGGGTGGATGACGTGAGGCCTAAATATACCCTCATTTCAAAAAAGTAAAACAGGTCATAATGCACATGGAACATGATGAAAACATGGGCGGGTATTTCCCATTGGCTTCAAGAAAGGGCTACATCCGTACGCACTGCGCTCAGATATTTTGAGGGGAAAAAAAGAAAACAAGACACCACAGAACCACTGAAAAACACTGCCTAAAGCAGATAGCATGACATAAACAGCAACCACATCCCAGACTTTCACTGTTGAAACCTTTGGGAAGTTGGTTTTATCAGAACCTGATAAAACAGCATTAACAGCTCAACCATCTGACAAACAGCACACAACACCTTTCAGCCTAAGGTACAAGCCTGGCCCGGCACCCATTTTGCCACACTTACTGACACTGGAAATTGTAAATCACTTAGTAAATGAAGTCATGTTTAGGTTTCAGAGAAGTTTCAGCGTGGGGGCTGGCTGCCTGGTATCTGTGCAGATGTTAAGACGCCCACCCTGATGTTAGCATACTCGTGAGATGCACAACTAGTGCTGCTAAATAAGCTATACAAGTAGGATCTGTCTCTAAACACAGTTGTAGGCGCCCACCGATTTCCTCCAGTTCAATGCTCTCCGTTTTCTCGGGTCAGGAAATGCACCCCTCTCCTCTTTGCAACATGACCCCAGGAAATGAAGACGGGAAAAACAACAGACGGAGACAAATATACAACATGTGGAGATGAAGAATCCTCAACTCATTTCTGGTCAGACGAAATCAAACCCACAGGTTTCCCAACATGTATTGTTGTTTTTATCAAGCTTGTATATTTAAGTTCAGTGATTTTACTTAAATGGCAATGAAGATTAGCTATTAATTGTTATTTAAGTGAAATTACTGAACTTAAATATACAAGTTTGATAAAAATCATCATTCAAGAAGAAAATTTTAAATGGCATTTAGAGGCTTTTGCATCTGAACTCTTCATATATATATATATATATATATATATATATATATATATACAGACACACACACACACACACACACACGCTAAGCCACAGTTCTGAACTAATGTCAAATGTAAATTGCAATGTAAAGCCATACATAAGAACATAATTATGGTGCCCAGACTCCAAGCCCTGTCTGGATTGCTCTAATCCCAATGGTAAGTAACATAGGCGTATCTGGATTGGGCTGAGATCATTGTAGCAGAGATTGACACACCTGAGAAATTTAACTGTATAAGTGTATGATTCCATAGCCTCTGGCACCGTTCGACTTAGCTTTGGCTGCCAGGGATCACTTTACTGGGTAGGCAGTGATGACAGACTCCACTGAACTGTTGTCACCATTTGTTGATATGCCAGGGATTCCTCTTTTTTGTGTCTTTTTTCTTCTCTCCCATCACCCTTTTCTCAACAGTATGTCAGTAAGTTGCGGAAAGACAGCTGTGATGACAGCAGCACTTCAAATAAAGTGCTGCCTTCAGACCCATATAGTTCTGTTTAATTAACTAATCAAATTCTTTGCAAAGGGCATACCTCCCATTTTAAATGCACAACCGATAGAAAATCTTTTTCTGACATGTAGCATAACCACCAGGGTCATTGACCCAGTTCTTCCAGTCAACTTTAATAATAAGCGATTAAGCCCTGAACTGAAATATTAAGGACATTACATCTCACCTTCAGATCTCTTGAGCTCCATGTGTTGTATTGTTGGTGAGTCTTTCTTGATGCCATTACTTGGGGGGATGACCAGACTTGGATCAAACACAGGCAATTTAGTCTCCACTCTGGAGAAAGAGGCAATCCGCTGTAATATGGAACCCACGCTTTCTTTTGCATGGATATCGTCCTGATCTATGTCATTGCTGATCTCCATCTCTCCTGATGGGGAAGGAGAGACAGGGGCCACCTGGACCACTTGAGGCTTAGAGACTACATTGAACTGAAGAGTCTGGGCTGGAGAAAGCAGCACTGGAGATTCGCTGATATTGGGGACTGGGATAGCTCCAGGAGGAGTGAGGGGCTCTCTCTTTTCGATGATGTTGTTATTGTTGTTGTGGGCCAGGGGTAGTTCGGTGCTGTCCAAGCTGCTGATTGATGCAGAGGGACTTGCAGAGACAATAGGACTGTTGGATAATGTGTGGAATCTTGGAGGTGGTTTAGGTGCTCCCGGAGATTCAATTTGAGACTTGAAGACTAGGTTGTCAAGGTCAAGAGGGAACTTGTTGAGGCGCACTGGATCTTTAGGTCTAGGAGACTGGTTGTTGAGAGAGGAGTCCCTTGCAAAGGTACTGCTGTTCTGGATATTATGGGGACTTCCACCCCACTGGGGACCTGTATTGGTGAATCGTGATCCAGGAGAAATCACTCGTCTCATCCCTGAAGTCTCCATCTGCAGGTCCAGAGAAGGCATTGAGCCATGGCTAATACCCATTGGTTCAGTTGGGATGACCAGAGGACCCTCCAGCTCTGAATGGAACATATTCCCATGAGAGGAGAACTTCTTCAATGCAGGGCTGCCTAAACGTTGGGCCTTGAATTCCCCAACACCAAGAGGACTCTGGGGAGGGCTTGTGTAGGAGTAGAGTTTAGAAGAGGCCTGGTACTCCAGACTGGAAGAGGAGCTATGGAGACTGTCGTTGTCACTTCCTGGACCTGAAGATGAAATGAAGCCATTGGGGTTAAATTTGTTTTGAAAAGAGGCGGCTCGGTTGATCCCAGAATTGGCATTTATAGTTGGCTTTTCTAATATCCCTCGGTTGAAGGAGAGACTGGACACCATCCTATTTCTCATAACAGGACTCTGGGCAGGACTGCAGCTGATACTAATCCTGGAGCGGTAAGGAGGAGACACCTGGTTCCCTGGACTCCTCACATCATTTGACTTGTTGAGGATTGCACTCGGGCTGATGGGAGATGTGACAGAAGATGTGGGGATCTCATTCACATCATCGATATCAAAGGACCTCTTCAAAGCTATATAAGGAAAGAGGACACAAATTTGATTAATTTTCAATGTTAAAAGACACTCTTGAAGACTCATTAAATAACTGGCATAGCATAAAATGAGGCAAGTTATACCTAATAACCAAAGGCTATAAGGCTAAAATCCAAAAACAGTGCGCTATAATTTTCTAAATTTGTGATAATACTGATAAATACATCAACGTTTTGGATTTCTTGTGTGCTAGAAATTATAAATCAGCAAGGACAGTCATTTCCTGTATATGATTGATAGAGACACAAAACTATAAAAAGATACACTTGACGTTGAAGGTGAGGACAGCCTGGAGCCCTCACTGAATAGATGCCAGTCAGACAGATTTTGATGGGCCAAGCCATAATTACACTGGTGTCTGTGCAGTCTTGCTTTGAGGGTGACTTAACAATTGTGAACAAATATGCTTTATTCTAGCAACAAGGTTATGTTTTGGAGAAGTAGACAGAAATGTTTGTACACAGCACAAACATCACTGACGATCTGAATTTAACCATTTCATACACAGAAGATAATAATTCGGATAATATATTACGCTGTAATTACAAATATACTTAAACTAGATAAATTAGAGAAGTATTTTTGTGTATTTTTTCTCCTCTAGCAAATGTTATTCTTTAAATTAAATTTTGATTAGATTTTCTACTAGAAAAACATACTGATTAAATATGATTTTTGCAAATATTGAATAAAAATACAAATTAAAAATACCAGCTGCATCAAAATCCACATGACATAGATTGTGTTAAAATTGTAAAGATTTTCGTGTCACCCCTACATCAACTTTTAAAGCATCATGCCATTTTTTTCTAAATTGAACACATGTGCTAAGGAAATGTTAGGTGTGGAAACAGTCTCTTGTGGGACTGAATGGTAAGTCTACACCTGGAGCATGTAAATTGTAGTGACACTGTATAATCCCCTCATTCTCAGAAGCTGCAACACAAAGCCGAAGGCAAACAGTGCTTTCCGACCTTTTCCCTTTGTGAAAGGCTGTGTCTTTTCCTTCAGCATAAAGGGCCAATTCAAAGACACAGTGTCAGGGGCTGAAGGCTTGGATTACAACAGCCCTTCACCATGACTGAGAATTCCAGTGGCAAACATTACAAATGTCCTAACGGCTCTGTGGCAGACCCAATTAGAAGAGGCATCCTTAGTATTTCATGTAGACACCATTGTGCCATGTGATGACTATTCGATCTGCCTAAGGTGTGACGTCATGAGGAGCTTATAATTGCAGACTATCACAGCTTACATCCATGCCATCTTTGGCATATCAAAAACCCTGGTACCCTGACAGGATGTCAGAGGAAAACTTAGATTTTCAATCCTCTTCAGGTACTGCCTTGTATAAACAAGCAGATATCAGTGTGAAGCTATCATAGCATCTCGCCCAGCAGCTCTGATTTTATCTTCGCCCGGCAGGGGGCAGGGCTGAAGCCGAGGCAGTCTGTCTTTCTGTATGGTATGCTACCAATTAGAGTCAAGAAGACTACACGCACAAAATGCAATCAGATTTTTACGCTGGAACAGCCACCTCTTTTACAGTGAGGAGACCACAGACCCTTTGTTTCAGCTCGCCCATCATCATCCGCACAGCTGTGAAAGTTTAGACCTAATCGAATTCCAGCAGCAAGTCCCTTGGTAAGGCCACCTATGCTTCGCTGCTACACACAATGCCATTGTCTGCAGCACCCCAGAAGTCATTTAATATGAGAACACCACCATTAGGAACATTGCAGTGTGTACTCTCACAATGGCAATCAAGTGATGGAGAAGTGAACTTTAGCAAAGAAGTATGCACAACTTTAGCTGACTACAGTTTTGGAAACCGAAAGAAAAGACACAACGTGAGAGAAGGACAGCAAATGGCACAGTCTAATAGTGTTTTTTTTTTTTTACGGTGCAGCACATGCAAGTGTAAACTTGTACTACCCTTTGACTGAGATAAAAAGGGGCTGGTATCAAGTAATTACTGGCACCCTGTCAAACGTTCAGGAAATAATTACACTGGCAGCAGAGCACACCATCTCTGCGCTGTTCAATATTCTTTCTCTCAGCTTTGCTGCAGTTTAATCCTCTCTGTTAACACATGGAGCAGCACAATGCCCGAACAATCTGATAAAAGAGGGGAACCTGAGAAGCTCCTTCTCTCTGCTCCCTTTTTTCCTCACGGCTAAGCCTTGTCTCTCCTCTGGATCGAGACTGTTTGCTGTATGTTATGGCTCTTTGGGAAACGGGATGGATGTCAATTCCTCCTGTGATGATTATATGCTTCCTGTGGAAGAATTTGTTGAAATTCCTTCATTAAGGACATTTTGGGCCCTTTTGTAATTTCCTGTTAACCATGTTCAATACAGCTTGGGAATGTTTTCCCCTGGGGAAAAATTTGGTGGACTCATGGGCTAAAAAACCCCCATTGGTTTCTGAAATATGATCAAAAGGGTTAGTTCAACCAAAATTAAAATGCTGTCACTCCAAACCTGTATGCATTTCTGTATGCTGTTCTTGTCCATACAATGAAAGTCAATTTAATCCAAAACAACATTGTGGTTCATTGTCTTTCATAGTATGGACAAGAACGAAAAGAATAGACTGTGGCGAGCAGGACAAGGCCGAGGGCCGTGAGAGAATGGCGCAAGGCCGGTGGCGTGCTTGATGATGAGCAATACCTACATGACGCACCAGGTTCGTATCTATGAAGGTAAAAGAGTAATCGATAGCACGAAGATGTGAATTTGAGAACTTGTACAATAAATAGGACTTTTGCTACTCTTTACACTTTGAAACCTATTTCAATTGAAAGTTTGCATTCTCAGGCCAAACACCTTTTGAGCCTGTACACTTTTGACCACTTCCAGAGGTAGTCATAAACGCATTTGACCAGATTGCTTTCGTAGTATAGATTCTTAAGTGGTCTACTGCGTTCGAACAGCCACAGAAGACCGCCTGCTCTCCGCCTACTAACTTAATGCATAAAGATTATGGGAAGCATGTTAGCTAGTTGGGATTTCAATTTTGTTGGCTGGAGACCTAAGTTTAGTTTGACGATGAAAAATATACTTAGCACAATGTTTTCTCACCATCTGCTTTCACAGAAACGAAAGCAGATGCGCTCCGTATGTTTTTACGTTGTCTCCAGTCGAATTCATGTAAATTGTGCAGAGCTTATTTTGTCCATTAGATTAGAAAAAACAGCATTTAACCACCCATAGACCCTCCCCTCGAAGAAACCAGGACAGAAGTGGTTAAAAAGCCAGGTGTAAATGGGTGTGTCTATCTAGTCTACTGATGATCCGATCAGGCAAAAAGCATCTTAATACCAGGTGTAAACAGGGCCATAGATTCGGGATCATGAAGTTCAAGATTTTATGACACTAGCTGCCATGCTACTTTGGACCTAAAGTTTATGGTGTGGGGGTGCAAGACAAACAGAGAAAGACCTGGTGATGTTTGAGAAGTAAACAAGAAAGGTGGGGAAGGTAAAGGAGACACCACACAGTCGCTGATGGATGTATCTATGCCATTTCTGTTAATAATCATATGAAGATAATTAGCAACAGCCTAAATTTCCAGAGTAATAAATGTGGGTTCTTTCCTAATCAGACAGCCCCTTGAGGGAAAGTTTTAGAGATGCACCTAGGGAGGGAGAGTATACTGTGATTGGGGGTGTTTGTGTATGTGTGTGGGTGTGGTGGGGGGTTGGGGGGATGGGGGGGCAAGCAAGCCTGGGCCTGTTGTGGTTTTCCATCCCCCACCATCACATTCCTCACAGGTATTCTCAGACGACCCCTTGAAACACCACCCTAAGCACATAGCTCAGACGTTGTTCGGACCACCTCTGCTAAGGCACATCTGGAAGCTGAATTCCGAGCCGCCATTTTCAACATTGCAGTGATGCGAATAAGGCGCTGCATTTACACCACCTGGGGGCCAAGAAAAACTTTCATACAGCCACAGATACTCTCTAACACACCTTTTAGCCTGAGTTGAATTTAGTTCCTCCATCATACTGATCCATAACCACGCGTGCCATTCAACACCAGTGTGTTTTCATTACCATTTCAGATTTGGTATCTAATGTTCCAAATGGGAATAAAAAGTTTTAAAGAAATGAATGCATGCTGATAATGGTATTTGATTTGCTTCAGTCCACATATACTCAATGTGGTATCAACTGTCAGGCAATTACATAGAAACATGCCTGAGCCACTTTGTGTTCTCCCAGATTCCTATATCTGTCTAATTTTAACTTGGCAGCTTTTTGTAGAATCTGATCTAAGGGAAATATCTCAAAAACGATAAGTACCTCTTCTAAATAATGATCAAAGGGTAAACAAAGGTTGATTAATGCAAGACCCTCAGGTACATATGCTTCGTTTTGAGAAGACCTGTTCCTCGGACTAACAATCAAATTATGGCTGAGCTGAGATAGAAAGAGACAGCCAAATGGCGGATTTCGAAGGTATGTGCACATAGGAGTCTTTGAGATGCAGCCAAGATAGAAAGAGGCATGTTACTGTAATTGCCCCCAATCTAGCGCAATCATACATTAAATATCTATGACTGACAACATTAAAAAGCTTGGTGCCACTGTTTACATGCTCTTCGTTTAAAAAAAATGATCAAGAAAAATAAATAAATGAGGACAATAATTAAAGATAAATAAATATCAACACAGTCTCATGAAAATGCGTATCTATACCACGAATGTCATTTCTCGTGGCATTTATACGCCAAAATGGTTTTTACGTGCATATGCCACGCACTAAAAAACCCTGGGGTAGGGAGTTTGTGCGTATTATACGGCAAAAAGTGCGTATCAAATGCACGCGAAAATTTGTACCATATACACGTAAAACTGTTTTTGCCGTATAAATGCCACGAGAAATGACATTCGTGCTATAGATAAGAACTTTCATGAGATCTTGGCAAACTTGGCACAGTTCAAATTTTTTTCCTCCCCAGTAATGCTCACACATACATAAACACAGTACATATTTCACACAATCTTTAAAGCTTAGGCTTCCTTATCCCATAAGGCTTTACCCAGGCCCCTATTTCTCCTCAATCTTTATTCTATGACTCCCATAATGCTATGAGGAATGTATAGGATGAAAAAGCAATGAAAGCCAACGTCTTAAACTTTAGTGAATCAGTGCCATTATTCAAGAGCATATGACCCTGGCTCTGCTTAATCAAAGATGTAGTCTCAAAATACAGCATATGCCATTTCTAATGGGTCAGTCTCAAATTACTCAAGGAGGGGGGTGGCGGCCCTCATTTCCACACATTCACATTTACAGGAAATGCATCCGTCATCACCCGCTGAACAGACTCTCTATCTCGAAATTTCATCTCTATGGATCACGAAAGTTCATGCCTACAATTAAACTTCTACTGATAAGAAATGGATGACTACGTTTCACAGTTAATCAGCCACAAATGGCCATATGAAAGAACCAAGGATCTCGCTATACGTCGCACAACATTCCAGGAGGCGTTTTCCTCAACATGAACAGCGGTTCTGTCTATCTTCACTCAAGCACATGGCGGCACACTGGTCTCTTGTTCGGAAATGACCCTATTTGCTGGTTTGAGGTGAAGCTGAAAGAATGTAATATCTCTCTTGTGGCATCTGCTACTAGGATCACATGGCCTGTATGAATTTGAGAAAAATGTAATGGCCAAATCTAAGAACACTGTGCCTTTGCATCTATGCTTAAAGGGACATGGATGGCGATGATCCAATCTTCGAATTAAAACCAATGTTCCCTTGTCTCAAATCTTAGTACTTTTTTCAAAATATGAATAAAAGTTGGGTGCAACTGACAGAAATCAAGGCATGTCAAGTGATTTTGTTTAAAGCATTGGCAAAACTTTGAGAACTGTGATTCAATTTCAGTTCTAGGAGGAACACACCCAGTGAACATATTTGTTTACTGCTTAGCAAAAGGCACCTCAATTTTCCCTGTCATCACATGTAATTGCCACAGTCTTCTCAAGAATGATTTTCTGATGAAGCATCTACCAGACAAACCGCTCCACAACTTTACCAAGGCAGCGCTCTTCCTCAGACAGTATATAGCCCACAACTGTCTCCGCGTAGCACATACATATAATAATAGATGGTGCTTTATTCTGAGTGCTTGAACTAATTTATTTTTCCTCTTCACAAAAGGCACCCGTCTAAACAATGAGAGAAACTATATTGTTCTCTACTTCCCGCTGTGTCCATCCATGACAGATCTATTGGAAAGGGTGCCTCTCTTCCTGAGAAATGTGTCAGATTCAATAGTGGACACGGCTGTGGTGAGGGTTGTGGTGGAGATGTTTCTTGACGCTCTCTGCAGTGTAAAAATGTGAGATCTGGATGCTAAGATAATAAGATAGTTGCAGCAGAACAACAGTGGAATGGTGTCAGGCTCTCTACCAAGTAGGCTACTTGCCTTTCTTATAACATTATAATAAGACATCAAATAAACTTTTACACTCGTCCCATAATCAGCAGTAAATGTGCATTGGCAAAATAGACAAAAATATAGTTTTAAAAAGTTCTTAAGTTAATGTACTTCTAAGTACAATATCCATTTAAATTACATATTTATTATTCTACCGACATACACGTGGTGAAAAACGTAATTTATAAAAGTTTTTGTAGACTTAATTTATTTTAAATAATCTACATTTGCAAAAGTTTCCCATAGCTCCATAATTCACTTAAAATGAACGCACTTACCCTCGAAATCAGACAATATCCCCTCCAGATGGTCGTTGACTGAGATATCTGACATCATGACTTCAGTCCAAGGAAAACTTCCAGATACAGTTGCACACAATCACAAAAAATAACAAAGCAAAACCAGAACAAAACCACTTTAAAAAAATGTCAAGCCGACCAAAGTTTATCCGACGATTTTTGGGCTTGTTATGCAACAAAAAAAGTTGCGATTTCGGTGGGAGTCGTTTCTCATTTGAGAGCGCAGAGCTGAACGTCGGATTCAATACAGACTCAAAAGCAGAAACACCATCTGATAAACCTCCTCCTCCTGAGTCCTGCCCCCCTCCCAAACAGAATGGTGGGTAAAGTACCTTCCCACCTTTCACCCCACCCGGCGGCTACACCTGGAAAAGGCAAGTATCCCCCCCTTCGTTTGCTTCTTCTGTTTGTTTGTGTGTGGGGAACATGCGTGCCCCCCAAAATAGACGACTCTTTGTCCTTATCTCATGAGAATGGGATTCCGTCTAAGTGGATTTCTTGAGAAGCCGATTATTATCAATGAAACACTTTGTATGTGGAGCAGCAAGGACTGAAGATTTGTAATTGATTCATTCAGAACGTACGCCATCAGACACTAGACCAGCGCTTGTTGACGGGTTTACTCAAGTAAATTATAAAAAAAAGTTTTGGCTAGGTTGGCATTTGCCTGCAGGTTGTTACAATGGCGCCTGTCATTAGAAGTTCTGTAGGCTACTCAAAATTAATCCGTAAAACAGCCTGAATTGTGATAATATTCAAAAAAATTGAATATTATCTATTCAATTAGATAATATTTTATAAAACACCTTTTGTGACACCCTGACCCCAAAATACTCCTGTCTTGAAAACTACTGAATTTGTGCTGAGAAGGCTTTTTTGTGAAAGCCTGCAGTTTCTGAGATTAGTGAAAACTATAGGCTAGCCTTATATTTATTTGATAGAACAAACAATATAAATTAGGCTATAATATAAAACAAAAGTTTTCTATTTTAATATATTTTCGAATGTAATTTCCTGTATTTTTCAAAACTGAATTTTCAGCAGCCATTACACATCAGTCTCAGTGTCAGATGATGCTTCAGAAATCATTCTGTTTTGGTGATGAAGTATGATTATTAAGTTGAAAACAGTTAATATTTTGGGGGGAAATATTCCCATGGTAGCCTACTTTCTTCTTTTCTTTTTTTAGGATTCCTATATGAAAATATATTTCTTTGAAATTTGTAACTTTTGATCAACTTAATTTGTCCTATCTGAATAAAACTATTCATTTCTTTAAAACGAATTTCTTACTGACCAAAACATTTTCATGTGATAATGTATTTTATTGTTTATTTAATATGTGTGTGTGTGTGTGTGTGTGTGTGCACTATATATCTGTTTGTGTTTATGAATGTAAGATGTGACTGGTCTAGGTATAATTTTAGGGTTATTTAGGGACTTATCTGTCCTGGATTATGTATTGACCCCTCATTGTTCTGTGGGAAATTGTTAAGTGTTCACTTTCAGTGCAATGCCGAACAAGTGAAATGTATATTTTGTCTTGTGTTTGTAATAAGACTGACTTGTTTTATAATCGCCCCTATTTTAAAACTGAATTCTAGTCAGATGTAACAGCATAACAATAAGTCTTAGATCAGGAAACCGCTTCAGAAGGTTTAATCCATTGTGGAGAGCCCCTCATCTGAAGGATAACTGAGAATTTCTTTCATCTTCCGTGGCCTACTTTGATTTTGCTGCTTATTTTCAAGAGATAGGGGGATTTATTTATATCAGAAACAGGAAATGTGGCAATTAAAAGTGGAAGGAGACTGAGAGTGACCATGTGACTGAGTTCCCAGACTCACATTTGAGCGTCCATGCGGAGGAGCCAGACAGTGGCCCTCATTAGCCATTTGAGAGTAGTGTGCTAGGGATTAATGTCATGTAGTCTTTAATATTCAGACAGACAGATCCTGACTAGGCGAAGAGTTTCTGGGCTTTGGTAGAAGATTGAGACCTTGACCGCGCCACTAACCACCTCTGGAAGTTGAAAAGTGCATTATGTATTTGTGAGCTGGGCAGAAATTAAAGGGAAGGATTAGACTGTGTTATGTTTGTATTGCCAGCTATTCTCCAACATGTCTAAGAGCACTGAAGTGGTAACAGGTTTGTTAGGGGAAAATAGATTTGAGATACTAGCGATCTGAGATAGTACAAACTTCAAGTGTAGGGCCTGAAGGAAAAGTACTTTTTAACTTCCATGAATGTCTGCTTTTATGTTCAGTGTAACAACATTCCTAAAAGTTTCTTGTGGTTCCCAGAATTTAGACAAAATATCTTTACAACTTTTAAACAAATTACCATTAATGGGATATGTGTTTATACAGAATATATTGGATCTTTTGAAAAAGCCTTTTTATTTGCACATCCGAGTTAAACAGTAAATGTCAGAGAACTAGCAAACACAGCTGCTGCAGCAGTAAATTACTCATAAACTCGCTCAATTTCCTGCATGCTGCAATTGACTGAAACGCTTCCCAAAACATTTGGGGAGCATTTAATCCTAAAGCTCAGAGTTACTTTCCCACACCAAACAAATAAGCTTCTTAAGCATTGTTTCAAAGGTCATGACCAAGGTTTTTAATATTATTTATGTCAATGTAAATCCACGTGATTTATCTAGTTAAAAAATCATTAAAGCTGATTTCGGTATGGATATGTGACCAGTGCAGCCTGAATTGTTATGTAATGCAAAAAAACCCAAGCATAAATAATTATGATTTAGCTGGTCACCAAGGCTGCTTTTATTTGATTTTACAGTGAAATATTATTACAAGTTTATTTATTCCTGTAATGGCAAAGCTGAATGTACAGTATCATTATTCCAGTCCTAAGTGTCACATGATCCTTCAGAAATAATGGTGCGTTCATGTCCAATACCAAAAGCCGGCGTGGTAAATGCACATGAACACCCGCTCATGTGGTATTTTCCACTGGGCAACTCATAGAATATTTTGATGCACGAGTTGCCAAGATGAGATAACCTAATAGCTTTTTAAAATGGCTGAGAGCAACTTTTACTGTCGTGAATGGTGAAAATATGTATGATCTAGAATATATACAGCATATTATTTACCGTTTGAGTTTTGATAAATAATTTTCTTGCTGTAGAAGATGACTTAAGCAATCTAAAATAGTTGTAATAGCAAAAAATAAAGGTATAACAACATATGCTATTTTTTAAAATAGCAAAATAACAGGTGTGGATCTCCATCTTTTTTTTTTTACCACATTACGACAACAAAAGCACTTGAATGCAACACACTGGTAAATACCACTTCACAAGTGGAAAATATCATATTTTCCATAGCATGTGAACGCACCATAAGTCTAATATGATAATTTTCTGCTAATGAAACATTTCTTATTGTTATCGATGTTAAAAGCTGTCGTGCTGCTTAATACTTTTTTTGTGGACAGGACACCATAGAAATACAATTAGAAGTAAAAAAAAAAATCTCTTGTAATATTATATATGTTTAAAGTATCTTTGCTGTATAAAAATATTAATAAATCTTTTTTACAGTATTTACTTCGGCGGCCATATTAGCATGTTTCACACTGTTCACACTGCCCACTTAAGCAATGCAATGCAGAAATCATCAGAAAATACAGTGAAAATCCGTTGTAAAGCTATTTGTTAATGATTTTTTGTAATAAAGGCTTTTATGAAGTAGCATAGAATACTGAAATGATTTTAGATGCAAGTCCCATGCAGTGACAGACACACAACATTAATTCATTAAATCGGACTACATGCTGGCTTCCACTGTTTATCTCTAGTTTTGGTGTTTGTGTTCTGATCAGGTTCTGCTCGACAGGCAGAAATTATCATTGTAAGTGTAAACGCTGTAATTATTCTCAGTGGCCCATCCTTGATAACCATTTTATAATTAATGGCAGTTTTTGTAAGAAAATAGTCACTGTAGTGCATCGAAAATCATTTTAATTTCTGTATAAAACCACAGCAACAAGCACGCTTTCAGTTTGAAAACTCAACACCATTCAATTCACATTTATTTGCATAGCGTTTTTCCACAATACATTTCATTCCAAAGCAGCTTCACAGAAAATGCATCAGGGGTGACTGTGTCAAGTTATGTATTTCAGAAATACAAAGCATGCATTTAGCCAACAATGTATTCATTTAAGGAAGAGACTAGTGAGCTCATTGAAGTAATGAATACATGTTGTTAAGTTAACATGCATAATATTGATCTGCCTGCATTGACACTATTATATGAGAACTGAACTAAGCTGGGCAATGACATCACGGTTTTCTCCAGAGCAGCTATAAATCAACTAAATTAATAACTTTTTTACAACAAAAATGAACCATCACTGAACTTATACTTAAGCTGGACTATAACACGTTTTTCTTCTAGAAACACACTCCATTGCATTATTTTCCTGTTATCACTGTAAAGCTGCTTTTTAAACAGTCTGTATTGTAAAAAGCGCTATAGAAATAAAAGTGACTTGACTTAAAAAAAATAAAATATTAGGATATAATTGCATGTTGATTCAATGTTTGTGTGACGCTGTGCGGAGAAACAGAGCTGAGGCTGGGTCCAAACGCAGTGTAGCTTTATTAAACAAACTTAAAACAAGACACTAGAAGCAAGACTCGAGAGACGTGAAAGCACCAACGCAACACACATAAATTCAAACAACCAACAAAGACAGGGCAGAAACACAGGGCTTAAATAATCAAGGACAAACGGGCTAGACAAGATAACAAGGGGGCGTGAGAAATGAGAAACACCTGGGATAAATAATAGACGGGCAATAACTAATAACGAAAACACACAAAATCACTTCGTGACAGTTTGCATCATCTGAATTCCTCGCAGGAGTTGGAAATCTGTTGTTGCAATCTTTTGTTGCATTTACGTTTTTTTTTTGTATCATATTTGCAAGGCCAGAATACTCGACAAACTCTTGGCAGTGTCAAAACCCTGAATTATTATGGTTTCATCCTTCAGCTACTTCTTTGAGTACTGACTGAGATGAATGATTTCAGTGGTGAGTAGATTATCTGCTGTAGCAGAAGCTCGAGTCTGTTGAACTGTTCTGATTTGCAGATATCCACTGAAGCGGCACTAAGTCGAGGGCGATGCAGGTTAAGTCAGGCTCGTTGGCTGGACAGAGGTTGACCTCTGACCTCACCTGCCTCAGGTCACAGATTAGGTGCTGTCACCAAGGTATGTACTCAGAAGTT